ACAAATACACACACACCTCTCTATATATAGATAGGTAGGTAGATAGATAGATAGATAGATAGATAGATAGATAGATAGATAGATAGACTGGGATTATTTCAAATCAACAGAGAGAGAACTGACATCTTAACAACATTGGTATTCCAATCCATGAACATGGTATATTTCTTGCATTCATTAGGGCTTTCTTTTATTTATTTTAGTAATGTTCTGTATTTTTTAATGCAGAAATTGCATGCTTCTTTATGTTTTATATTTTAGTGCTGCTGTAAGTGAGTTAGGATCCAGATTTAAGGAACTTTTAGCACTCCATCCATCCTTTGATTTCTTGCCATCAAGCTTACATGTATCAGGTGATTGCTATGCTCTTTTTTGTGTTCTGGTGACATGTGTGGGTGAATTTTAAATCACCTTGTTTATTCTTCAGAAATCCTGAGATTTGAGGGGAGCACTTCGTTCATTTGCTTGGTTTGGCCTGAGAGAAGAGAGACCTGGGCTGGGCTTCCCTCCACTCTCTCAATCCAGAGGCCGTTTTTTGAGCTCCACTCCCAGACACAGGGGAAGCTGGAGGTTCAGTGGGAGGACATTTGAAGAGGAGGGACCTCAGTATCAAAGACTGAGGTATGATCTGTCGGGGCTCACTGAAAATGGTTTAGGAAGGCCATGGAAGGCCATGCGGGCAGCATGGATAGAGGAGTGAGTGGAGTGAGGCCATGAGGAAGCTGGAAGAGTCGTTGTTCGGCAAATAAGCCATGAGTGAACTGTAAGCACAGCAGAGAGAGAGCTCTGGGCAGCCAAATGATCTCCTCTGGATTACCTGCAAGATGCCTTGACTAACGAAGGCCAAGAGGCCTCAAGATCAAAGGGAGAGGGAAAGAGTAGGGGAAGGAGTGAGAGAGAGGCAGGGAGGGAGAGAGAGAGAGAGAAAGAGTGGGGAGTAGGACAGGCTTCAGATGCTGCACAGATCTGGACCATAGGCTAAGGTCACTTTTGCAAAAGCTGTGACACAGCTATTTGTACCCAAGTGGTGTCAATACGCAGATAACTGGCTACTTCCAGAGAAGAGAAGAACTCCCACCAAGACCCCTCTGTTTAAAGCACAGGACCCAGATCCAGGGTGTGCTCACCCACTCTGCTCCAGGAGCTATGGTGGGATTTTATTCCTGTCATTCCCACCTTGAAGGAAGGCTTCTGATCCCTAATTTACAGAGCAGGAAGCTGAGGCACGGAGAGGTGGGACTTGTCTGTCACTTTGTAAGGTGGCAGAATGTGGAGTGCTTTGGAAGCCTGTGCTCTTTTGTTATAGTTATAGCTGATCATCTACAGGAATTCTTAAACATTTCATTTTAATGAACAAATAATAATTACATACGCCTTTTTAAGTATGGTGTGATATTTCGATAGGTTCACATTTTAAGGAGTGATCGAATCAGACTAATTAGCTTATCTATCACCTCAGATATCTATCATTTCTTAGATAGAATGTTTAAAACCCACTCTTTACAATTATTGTGTCTTTTGCAACCATGTGGATAAACCTAGAGGATATTATGTTAAGTGAAGTGATCCAGGCACAGAGAGACAGGCACTGCATATCGCACTCATATGTCCAACCTAAAAACGTCAAACTCATGGAAGTAGAGTGGTGATTATGGAAGGTTGTAGGGCTGTGTGGAGAGAGGAGAGATGCAGGATAACAGCATAGTTTTCGTGTTGCTAAGGATGGGCTCTGGATGCACAGTAGGGTGACCTAGAGGATTCTTCCTTCTACTGGACCAGCCAGCTCTGACTTTTCCTCAGCCTCAGAGGGGCCATGACCTCTCCAACCAGAACCAGTCTTGGCAGCTTCTCACTTTTGGATCTTTATCTTGGTGTACTCACTGGTGATGCTCTGGTGCTTCTGTGGGTCCCTGGGCTTCACCCCATGGAAGCTGAGGGATGCATAATGGATCTCTTCTTTCTCCTCTGAGGAGAGGGCAACCACAGATGGGAGAGGCTGTTGTGAGGAGCTGTCATCTGGCGGGGATTTAACCAGGGGACTCTGTGTGGGACAGAGAGAAGGGAGTCAGGGCAGAGTGGTGTGGACAGGGAGGGGCAGAATCCAGGTGGAAGCCCATGAGTGCCTGCTTCCATCCCTCCAGGTGTATTTGTGCTGGAATCTCCTTCATTCATACTTCTTCAAACATTGAATATGGAATGACCACCTAATCCCATTCACAGCTCCATGAAGAAGATAATGATTTTTTGTCTCCAGTTTATAGATGTGAAAACTGAGGTTAAAATCACCACGTAGCACACCAAAACTACCTGGTAAATCCAGAATTGGATCTACTGCTCTCTGACCCCAATTCTAATGTCTCCCATGTGTGAGATCCTGAGCTGGGTGCTGGATATACCATGCAGACATGGCAGACAGACGACCTTGTCTCTTGCAGCTCATTTGTTAATTGAAGTGGTGGCAATAAATTAATAGTCAAAAAGTATCTAATTGTGGATTACAGTGATCAAGAACAAGGTGAGCGAGGAGGTGTCCTGATGCACACATGGCACCTGTATTTGAAGGCTCACAGCTTGATTGCGGGGAGGGTGGGAAAGCAGACAGTCAAAGAAATTGTATTCCTCTGATAGGAAGAATAACAACCTCCCAAAATTTGCACAGCCTAGAACCCCTGGAATCTGTAAATATTTTATCTTTCATGGCCAGAGAGATTTTTTGGACTCTTTTAAAAAAATTAGTTATATAGATTAATAGGATTCACTTTGGTAGATTTATATAAGCCTATAACATACTTTAATCATTTTCACTCTCACATCATAGCCCTTACCCCACTCTCCCCCCTAGTTTCATATTGGGGGAGAGGTTTCAATGTATATAATATATTTTGATCGTATCCATTCCCCCATTCCCTGCCCTCCTCCTTAGTCTCCTCCTCCTCCTCCTTATTCTCTCCTCTTGTCTAATAATAATCTCCCTTTTACTTTGTTATCACCTCTTTTAGATTCCACATATTATGGACAATATGCAATGCTTATCTATCTGAGTGAGTCTGGCTTATTTTGCTCGACACCACCGTCTCCAGGTCCATCTATTTCTGGTAAGAGGGACTTTGAGGATAGGATTAAATTAGGGACATGGAGATAGAGAAGTGATCCTAGAGTATTTGGCTCAGCTGATGTGATCATAAGGGTCTTCACAAGTGAAAAGAGAGCAGAGAGAGATTAGTAGATGTTACTCTAGTGTCTTTGCAGATGGAGGATGGGGCTCTGAGCCAAGGAAAGCAGGTTTCCTCCAGAGGAGGCAAAATGAAGGAAGATAGATTCTTGCCTGAAGCCTCTGAAAAAAACCTGCCCTGCCTGCTTTGATTTTAGCCCAAAGAAACCCATGTTGTATGTGTGACTTCCAGAAATGTAAGATAATACATGTTTACTATTATAGGCATGATATCTGTGGCAAATTGTTACAGCAACAACAGGAACCTGATACAGACTCACATGGGGTGAGATCCCCATGTGATGGATCCTCCCTGGGAGGTGTCCCCTTCAACTACACCTTTCTCTGCCACACTTCCTAATAACAGAACAGCTTTATGAAATTGTTGATAACTATTTAAAGTACTGAACAGCTCAGGTAACGCATCAAACATCAGTATCCAAACAACGGGCTATTGATGAGTGTTGGTTGTTATCTTGTGAGCTTGTGGCTAACTAGAAGCTGTGGTTCACTACCACTTCCTGGAATCATAAGAGTCCCGTACCACATATCATTGGCCCCAGAAAAGATCAAAACTCAAAATCTGGAGTACAGATTCTACTGAATGCACAATGGTAAAGTAGGAAAATATTAAATGGAAACATTGCAAGTTGTGACCCTCTATACTTGAAACTCCCACTTCCTTGTCCAAATGCACACAAAACCCAACACTTGGAGAATGAACACCTTTTTCTCCTACAGTGGATTGGCGTGTCCATTCTTCTGGCTGCTCGGCACAAATGCCTAGACTCACTCCTCATCCTCTCCTGCACTTCCACCTACTCCCAGGCCACGGTGAATCCCCTTTGCCTCAACCTCAGCGTCCACCCCACAGTCAGCCCTGGAACCAGGGCCATCGTCTCCTACCTAAAAAGCTTCACCAGCCTCATTCTAACTGCCCTGCCTGTGCCCTTCCCCAGCCACACAATGTCTGTACACAGTGGCTAGAGGGACTCCTGAAAATGAAAGTAGGGTTATTTCTTTCTTGTGCTCAGAGCTCTCAGGCCTGCATGTTCAGACCCGAGTTGCACATGTTCAACTCTTCCAAACTTGTTTCCTTGGTCAGCTATTGCTTCCCTCTCTGGGCACATGGGCCTCCTGTTTGCTCCTTCCTCTACTCACTGGTCAGCCTCCTGTTTCTGAATATTTGCACCTACTCCTCCCTGCACCTCTGGAGCAACCAAAGGGTCAGCTCTGGAGCCATCTGCATCATATGTAGAAACCAAAGTCCACCTACAGAATGAGAGAGAATGCTTGAAAGCCATACATCTGACAAGGGACTAATAACCAGAATGTAAAAAGAACCCCTACCACTCAACAACAGAAACCAAATCACTTTATTGGAAAAATGGATAAATAACTTGGATAAACATTCTTCCAAAAGATATACAAATGGCCAATAAACTACAAAAAGATGCTCAATGGCACTAATTATTCAAGAAATAAAAAGCCAAAATCATAAACAAGTATTGCCTCACATTCACTAGGATGACCACTACTCAGAAACAAAATAAAACAGAAGTTAGCAAGTGTTGGCAAGGATGTAGAGCAATGAGAATTCCTACATACTATTGCTGGGAACATAAAATCGTGTATTCACTGTGGAAAAATATCTGGGTGTGGTGACACAGGCTTATAAACCCAGCACTCTACGAGGTAGAGACAAGAGCACTGCAAGTTCAAGCCCAGCCTGGACAACTTAGTGACTCAGCCAGACCCTGTCTTAAAATAAAAATTAAAAAATAAAAAGCTGGGAATATAGCTCAGTGTGAAGGCCCTGGGTTCAATTGCTAAGAAAGAAAGAAAGAAAAAAAGAAAAAGAGAGGAGAGAGAAAGAAGGAAAGAAAAAGAGGAAGAGTTGCCACCTAACCATAGATCCAGAAATTCTACTTATGAGAATATACCCAGAAAAAGGGAAAAGGATCTTGACAAGGTATATGCACATCTATGTCCACTGTAGCATCATTCACAACAGCCAACAGGTGGAAGCAACACAAATGTCCATCAGTGGATAAATAGGTAAAGAAAATGTGGTGTAAATACATACGATGAAATACTATTCACTCATAAAAGAAGACAATTCCATTGCACGCTACAATACGGATCAACCTTGAGGATATTGTGCTAAGTGAAATAAGCCATCACAAAAAGACAAATACTGCATACTCCCACTTAAATGAGGTAAGCAGAGTATCCAAACTCAGACAAATATAAAGCGGAGTGATGGTTGCCATGGACTGGGTTGGGGGAGGGCTTGGGCCTGTGAGGAGCAGAATGCGGTGTTGTTAATAGACAGAACTTTAGTTTTGCAAGATGTAAAAGTTCTAGGATTTCTTGTACAGCTGTACACTTAGAAATGGTAATGGTGGTAAATTTACGGTAAATTATTCTATAAGAGGTGATACATAATTTTTTAAAATGCTCCAGCCATCTCCTCAGTACTTTCTGTTCTATGTACCGTTCATTTCCCCAAAGTATGTCTCTATCTTTTACGTCATATTCATTTATTTTTGGTTGGTTGGTTGGTTGGTTGGTTCGGTTACATCCACCATCTAGAATGAAACCTGATTAGCCCAGGGTTTTCTGGTGCTTTTCACAGATGGTTACTGCCAGCAAGGACTCAAGAATGCTGCCTGAGTGAGTTCATAAATTCACTGTTACTCAAAACCCTCCAAAAGTCACACTCTGCATCCAACAAATAAATAAAAAAAGTGTATCATTGAGACCACAGAATAAAGGGTAAACAGGAATGAATATGTGGAAATGCAGCACAAAAGTATTTGAGGTGGAAGGAACAGCCCAGGCAAAGCCCGGAGGTACAAATGACCTTGCTCTCCTGGAGTGGGAGGCAGAAAGTAGACTAAAGGCAGGCCTGGGATTGGGGTAAGGAGGTGAGGCACCCCCTGAGATCAAAATGTCACATGGCACCAAAATTCTCAGTAATTGAGATAAATATACAGTACTTAAAATCAGAATGAATGCAAAAAAATTCATGCAGGACAAAAATTAAATAAACCCAGCATTAGTGAGAATGCCCTGCTGAGTCAACTGTAGTCTCAGACAAAGGAAAACAATGTATGCTCCTACTTATATGTTTGTATGTAATCTGAATGGTCAGTTTTTTCCAGAGCACTGAGATAATTAAAATCATTATTAATTTAAATTTAAATGTAATGTTCTTAAAGCATTGTTTTAGGTTTAAAGATGTTATGTACACCCAAAACAGAATTTATCACCATTTTGCTTTCTTTTTTTTTTTGTTTTTCTCCTGTACCGGGAACCGAACTCACGACCTTCCGCTTGCCAGGCAGGTGCTTTTGCCAGTGAGCTAAATCCCCAGCCCCCCATTTTGCTTTCATGGAAGCAAACGCAGCGATAATGTTTTCAAAATCTACTTCTTTGCCTCGCCGATTTCCATGCTCAACAATTTCTTCTGACAACCTAACAGCCTTAAAAGATTTTTTAAACCAGCTTTGGTTTATTTGATTTGTAATTATCTCAAGTTTTTGATACCTGCTCATGATGGATTTTTAGAGTAATTTTGAGTTTTTAAAAAATCATGCATTAAAATATTACAAGTCTTAGGTACTGAAATTTGTGGCACCCCTTAAAGTGTGCATGCTAGGCAAGCACCTCACTCACCTGACCTTAATTCCAGCCGTGGGGTAGGGGGTTGAGATCTGAGGCCCAGCGTACATGTGGGGACTGTGGGCTGAGCAGTTTGGCTGTATTCTTTAGGTCAGCCCTTGGGTCCAATTTGACCCACTGCCTGTTTTTATAAATAAAGTTTTATTGGAACACAGTGATACTCATCATGGACATACAGTCTATGGCTGTTGTCCTGCTGCAGTAGCATAGCCCAGTAGCTCCAACAACCACTTGTATGGTCCACAAGGGCAAAAATATTCACTACCTGGACCTTTACAATGGGCGTGGGGTAGCAAACACATGTTCAGATGCGGAGGAACTGGGCCATGGTAACTTTTGGAGGATCACTTGGGTGGGGAACAGGGAGGTGAGGAGGCCCAAGAAAGGCATGCTGTGTCCTTAGCAGTGATGAGGTCAAGCAGGGGAGGAGGACTAGTGCTGCTGTTGAGGAGGAAGAGGAGACATGACACCATGACATTTTAGCTGTGACAGAAGGGAGGACAGAGAGGAAGTGTCTTCCTGCTCCTGCATGGCCTGGGGGAAGCGAAGGGGTGGGAGTTGTCTGAGGTCAACCAGATGGCAAATCGGTGGTCAGGAGTTCATGGGAGGGGTGGGGGAAACCTTGGGCAACACTGGGCAAAGCAACCCTGGGGCCACCACTGAGGAGGTATTCTGGCAGGGTGCAGGGTATGAACGCTGCTGCGTCACTCACCTGTGAGGCTGAACTGCTAGTAGTGTCTGGATCCCTCCCACTTGCTGCTGGTTTCGCAGATTTCTTTCTGCAGGACCATGTTCTGAATGGAGACATGGGATGGGGAGGGCTTTCATCCTGGTGGGAGTCCCTGTCCTGGGGAAGCCTGACCTGCCTCCCCCGGCCACCCTTTTCCTATTAAGGTGCTGGGATGGGGCTGAAGCTGGAGAGGGTGCCCTCATCTTGGAGGCCTCTGTATTAAGATGGCAAACTCAGTCAGATGTGGTCATGCTGCCAGAGTCTGGGAGGCTGAGGCAGGCGGATCACAAGTTTGAGCCCAGCCTGGCCAATTCAGCAACTTAGCAAGACCTTGTCTCAAAATATAAATATAAGATGGGGAGGGTATTCTGGGACAGTAGCTCAGTGCAAAGGCCCTGGGTTCAATCCCCAAAACCTGAAAAAAATATTAAAACAGCAGCAAAAGGTACTCTTCCGAGCTCTTGGCAGCTTGCCATGGCCTTGGCCTCAGTCCCTCCAGCTCTGTCACCTGTCACCTGTCATCTTCCGGGGCTCCCCTCTTTCGCAGTTTGATGCTCACATGACTAAGATGATACAGAAGGACAGGAAGAACAGGGTTGCAGCGCCCGCTCCTGCGATGGCCCCCAGCGTCACTCCAGCCACTCCTGCCTCTTTCCGTGGAAGCCCCTCTTTGTCTGCTGACAGGAGAGCCGTTGTGCTGAGTCACTGCGGGGGGACCCTCCCTCCTCCCCTTGCACTCTCCGTGGGACCCTGGACTTCCTCTTTCCCGCTGCTTTCCTGGAAAGGAGAACAGGGGAGGGGAGGGGCAGGGGCAGGACTCCGGGGAGGACAGCTAAGCATATAAATGCTACTGCAACTTGTCATTATTTAACATTTGGAATTTTTCTCATTGTGGAATATATTTTGTGATCATTCGTGGAAGATTTTTTGCATCTTAATATTATGATTATTTTACCTGATTACTGAGGTTTTTGTTATCGTGGTAGTTCTGTTTGATTGTTGCTTTTGGTGTTTTGGCTTCTTCTTAAATTTTGTGCCCAAGGCAAATGCCTCGTTCTAGTCCTGGCCCCCAAAAGGACCACGATGCCCCAAACACCCCTATCTCAGGCCCCATCCCCTCTCCCCGAAGAGCTCGCACTGCCCTTCCTCCAGCCTCACCCTAAGCCATGCATTGGTCCTGCAGGAAGAGGACAGAGAGGCCCTGAGTAGAGGGAGAGTCCAGGCCTCACAGTGGAGCCACAGCAGTGGCGCCCCCGCCCCCACCCCCACCCCCACCCAATGAAGCTGCTGTCTAGGGCAGGTGTTGGCCCTGTCCCAGCCCCTCTGTATTCCATCAGTCACTCACTCTTCAGGGACAGGCTCAGCGAGATGTGCTGGGAGCCCAAAGAGTTCTGTGCTCGGCAGGTGAATTCTCCTTCGCCCCTGAGGTGCTCTGGAGTCAGCTCCAGCACCCCAGGGTTCGCCGGCTGGGAGGGGCACAGAACCAGGTTTCCCCAGGACCAAGTCAGCTTGGCAGGCGGGTGGCTGTCGACCGCACAGAGCAGGCGCAGAGCTTGGCCCTCCACGACAGGAAGGGAGGAGCCGTTCTCCAGGGCTGTGGGTGCTGCAGAGAAGATGCAGAGGATCAGAGTGATGACAAGATCCAGAGAAGGGTTACTGAAGTCCAGAGACAGGGACAGACTCACAGACACTGACGGAAGTACAGGAAAACACACGCTTTCACCCGTGTGGGCAGGGATGTAAATCTGTCCCCATCATACAGGACAACTTGACCCTCAAGCTCAAAATTAGAAAGAACAGGTGACTTAGCGATATTTTATATTTAGAAGCTGCTCACACACACACATTTATGGAAGTAGATACAAGACTACTCATCACACACTGTTGTTAGAAAAATGCAGTCAGTGCCACGACTGTCCAGTGGCACGGAAACAGGTCCCTCTGTGCAACAGGCAACGAGGTCAAGGAGAACCGGGACCGTGTGTCTCTGATCCTCAGGGGGACAGACCAAGCCTCAGCACAGCCTGTGTGGTCATGATTACTTCTGGAGCCAGACTGCTGTGTGTTCTGAGGGTGTGTGTGTGTGTGTGCGTGTGTGTGTGTGTGTGTGTGTGTGTGTGTGTCTCCTTCCTCCAGCACTTGGATCAAAGCTATTGGGGGATAAAGAGAATGGCTGGGGTGGACCCTGAGGAAGGATCTGGAAAGTTCAGTTCTGCTGTGTGAAAGATCTCCATCCTTGCGGGGCTGAGGGGTCTGTGCCAGAATCTGAAGTCGGGGAGGTGTTGGTGGGGACAGAGTTTGAAGTGACTGCAGGCTGTGGATAGGAGGAGCCACTGGGCCCCCCAACAAGGGATCTCTGTGACTAGGGTGCATCCAGGGTGAGGAGGACCTGCCCTGCCTAAGGTGAGGAGGACCCGGCCCACTCACCCCAGCCCCAGGGAGGCCCCGTACCCGAACTAGCTCCCTGGGCAACAAGAGTTACAGTCAGGTTTTGTGGAGAATCTGAGGCAGGAAGACACGGAAGGGCCATCAGTGGTGAGGATGGAGGATATCATCCTTGTCCCCAGGAGCTGCAGACAGTGGGGAGGGGGCTGCATCCTCCCACCCCTGACCCACCCCAGATTCCAGCAGGAAACCTCCCTCCTGCCCCCAGGGACTCCTCTCCTGGTAGCCCTGCTCCCCCCCAGCCCCGCCCAGCTCTCACAGGAAAGGTTGAGATGCACAGTCGTCCTCTTGGTCACACTGACCGCGGGCAGAGTCACCTGACAGGTGAGGTTGGTGCCGTGGTCCTGGGGCCGCGGGGTGAGGGTCAGCACTGGGGAGCTGGTGATGTTGGGACCCATGTGGGACACAGAGGGCCCCACCCAGGAGAAGACGGGGGGCGTCCCGCGCTCACAGGCCCAGGGCACAGAGCAGGTCAGGGTGCTGGCGCGGCCGGGTACCAGGGTCCCCGGGATGAGGATGTCGGGACTGTGGGTCAGGTCTGGTGAGGAGAGGAGACAGAAGGATCAGGATGGAGGCTCTGGGCTGTGACCTTGAGGGAACCTCAGAGCCTGGCCCCGCTCTTCCCGGAGCCCTACTGCTCAACCCCTGAATCCTCTCAGGGCAGGTCCATCCCAGCTCTGCCCGCAGCCCTGTGACTTCCCCTCTGGCTGCTGCTGAAGCCCGGACCTTACCAGTCACACGCACAAAGAGAGGGTAATACGTGTAAGTATATCGTGTCTTTCCTTTCTCCAGCCGAAAGACAAATGACCCCTTATCCTTCTTCCTGGCATCTCTGATGTCCAGGGAGCAGTTGTTGGCCCCGGGGTCTCCAGTGAGGTGGAATCGGCCTTTGGCTTCCTTCTGCACCTGTCGATCTGGATCATTTGTGGCCACTGGAGCAATTTGGCTTGTAGGCACACCCTTTCTCCGGAACCAGCAGCCATATGCCGGATCCCACTCAGTCCCGTCTTCATCGGGGTAGCTGACCTCACAGGGCACATGGACACACAGGCCCTCCTGCACCGTCACCGAGCTCTGCACCTTCAGGGAGTAACACCCTATGCTCGCCCCGTCCTGCGCCCAGAGCAGCAGCAGCAGAGGCAGCAACAGCAGCAGCAGCGGCAGCATGTCCGGCTAGAGCTGCGGTCCCGCCCAGTGGAGTCTATTTAGCGCCACTCTTCTGAGGAACTCAGAGTTACAAGACCTTTAAGAGGCCCCACAGGAAGAGTGGTGCCTCCTTGTGGGAGGAGCTTCAGATTAGCCACTGTCAGGGCCCAGTCAGCCCTTGGGATCAGCCACCCACCATCCACATCCACTCCTGGGACCCGTGACCAGAGGTGCGACAGACTCCCCAGTTCGCCCCCCTGCCGGGACCCACCCTGTCTCCTCCCTCCCTGCTGAAGTTCTTCCCCCTGGGTGACATTTTCTGTAATGTGAAAATAGGTCTCCTCTGACTGGACCCCTGAGTCATCCCTGAGGCCATCAACATTTGTGGAGTCTGAGACCCACGGACGGAATGGACGGAGGCCCAGTCATGTGAGCAGGAAACCTCTTCTCCCGTGCTCAGCAGCCCCCAGGGTGGACAGGCCCTCCTCACACAGTGAGGTCAGTACAGCAGGCTGGGCACTGTCCTCAAGGGGCTACTGTCCAGTGGGGAAAACACAAATCTTCCAGCATCCAGTGCACCCAGAAGTGTCAGTGTGGGGCACACAGTTGGAGTGTAAGTTTGATCTCACTCAGGTTGGATGATCAGTCTCAGGAAGGCTGAGCAGAGGTGATACTGGGGTAGGGGTGAGCATTCTGAATGTTAAAACATAATGAGGAACTGGAGGGGAACCAGATTCACAAGAAGTCTGAGGAACTGAGGTGGTCACTCTTGTACAGCAGGGCTTGGTGGGGAAGAAAGTCAAGAGGGAACAGGCGTATTTTGAAAGAGGTAAACTTTTGTTCTGCAAGACTGAATTTCATGCTGGAAATGAAAGTCAGGGTATTATGGTTTATATTTAGATGTCCCCAAACACCTCCTACATGCATTTTGGGGGCTTTTAGGAGGTCACGAGATTTGGGGAACATGATACTCATCAATGGATTACTCCACTGATGAGTTTATACTTAAATGTGTTGTTGGAAGGTGAAGCCTGGTCAGAGGAGGTAGGCCGCTGGGGTGTGGCCTGGAAGGGTCTGTCTGCCTCCCTCTGCTTCCTGTTTACCCTACCATAGACTGTTTCTCTTCTATGATGCCCCTCTAGCATGCTCCCCTGCCTTGGAGCTAGCCAACTGTGGACTGAAATCTCTACAAACTGTGAGAACAAACAAACCTCTCTTCCTTTGAGTTGTGAGTTTAAGATATTTTGTTCCAGCAACAAGAAAGTAAGACGCAGGGCCTTGAACATGCTACACAAGCACTGTACCATCGAGCTACACACTCAGCCCACCAGGATAAGTCTCTTTACCACTGCTGTGTCTCACCAACTTGCCACCTTACTACCCCAGAACACAGTGGATCTGCCCTGAGGAATCTAGAGAAATGGAGCTAGGAGTGCCAACCTTCGGGTGTCTACCATCAGGGAAGGCCAGGAATTAGTGTGAAAAGAAACACACTCCTGAATTCAACCCGTTATTTTTAACGGTTTCGCACTGACTGGGAAGAAGTGGTGGAAAGCCTGGGAAGTGGAGCCTCCATTGGTTCCTGTCAGTATTTCTTGGAACTTCATGGGCAGTGGGGGATAAGAATACCTGACATGTAGATGAGAGTGCCCCTAGGAAAAACTCAGTGAATTCCAGCAAAATGATTTCCCTTCATCAGACGGGCCACCATGCATGCTCCAGGACCACCCACCTGTTCTCCTTTCCTATTGCGTAACCCATTCCCCTGAAGAAACCCTTAGGTGCACTTTAGTACTGATTGTCACCTTGCTTGTCCTGGAAGTTTTGTCATGTGAGGTAGCACTTTCAATACAATAGCATTGGACATGTTGGACTAAAGACTTTATATCTAGAAAAGTGCTTTGGTTCCTTCCATTCAATTTCATGGATCTTTCCATTCTACACCATCCACTTCCCAGAACTATTATACAGACTTGAGGGGAGGGTGTAAAGACTTAATCAACTGTGATGATTAAGAAGAGTAGGTGCCGGGGTTATGCATGCATAGCTGGCCCTCTCCAAACACACACACAAACACACACACACACACATGCCCCTGTGCACATACATGCACACACACATGCACACACACACACTCACAGCTTCTTGAATGTTCAGCTGGTATTCCATCCTGCAACCCTCTTGAGCCCCTCAGCCTGCCCAAACACTGTCCCACACGGGAACCGTTGCAGCGTCCCAGTGGTCACCCCAGTTGGGTCATGGCCCATCTGTTTCCTATGGTCTCCAATTTGTAAAGAAAGGCAGAAGAATGGGAAAGAAAGATCTGGACAAGCCACAGAGAATCCATATAGAGAAGAGGAACTTAGGACACAAGTCCAGAGAACTGGGAGGCCCTCTAGATCTACTTCCCTTATTTTCAGAAGACACTACTAAGGTCCAGCCTGGTCTGAATATTTGTATTTCTCCAAAATCCATAAGTCGAAATCCAGATGGCCAACGTGAAGGTAACAGGAGATGGAATCCTCTGCTTGGTAATTTGGCCATGAGGGAAGAGCCCTGATGAATATGATTAGTGCCTGTATAAAAGAGACCCCAGAGAGCTCATCTGCCCTTGCTACCACAGGAGGACTCAACGAGAAGTCATGATCTATATGAAACTGTGTCCTCACCAGACTCTGAACCTGCTGGTACCTTGATTTTTAGACTTGCTAGCCTCCAGAACTATAAGAAATAAATGTCTCTTGTTTATAGGCCACCCAGTTTGTGGTATCTTGCTAGAACTGTGGAAACTAAGACAGGAAAGTAAATTGCCCCAGTCACACCAGTGTCCAGTCTTTTGTGTCGCTGTCTGCCTGTGGAGCCACCTCATCAATCTTTGTCTAGCCAGAATTGATTGGGTTAGGTGGGAAGAATTGTCAAGTCTGTCCCATAGAATGATGGAAGAAGTTTCATTCATTCATTCATTCATTCATTCATGTATTCATTCATTCACTCATTCATTCTCAGTCAGGTAGTGAACTGTCAGCCTGTGCCTTGTAGTTTCCAGCAAAGAGGTAAATAGAACAGCTCCAGTGGTTCCTTGACGTGCATCAGTGTTTGGTTGGGAAACAGTCACTGAACAATCTCAGTGTCACAGGGCAGGGAGCCATGATGGGGTGAACCACAGACCAGGGATGGGTGGGGATCTCACAGTTCTGGAGCAGAAGGTGAGTTCTAAGTGGAGAATGGGCAGAGTGGACATGGCAGAGACTTTCAGGCAATAGTGAGGAATCTGAATTGCACAAGTGCCTTAGAAAGAGGAAATAGCTGGACTCTATGCTACTGCATTCCCTGTACTTCTATCTTTCATTGTGCAGCAGATCCTCAGCCACCCTCTGAGTTCCATGCTCTGTGTATGCCTCACCCTACTCTGCCCAGGGGACATCAGGTCACTGACCATGGGGTGCTCCTTCTGCTCAGGACAGATTCTGGCTCTGGGGATCCCTAGGCAGGATGACTGAATTGTTAGAGGTTTGATGTCTGCAGCCTGTGCAGGAGCCTGATCAGGCAGACAGGGGCCCAATGTCAGGGGGCCAGAGCATCAACATGTCAGATGTGCTAAAGAGTGACAAGGTCCACCTGGAAGGAGCCACTCAGGATGTAGCAAATCTTTCTGCCCCCATGTCTGTCCAACCTCAGGAGTGCCCTGGGACAACTTCAAGCTATTGTCCCAGTGCACCGGGCTGTTGTTGCCCATTCTAAAGGGGCTCCATCTTCCCAGGGTAAAGGGCAGGGTAAGGCTCACTTCAGTACTCAAATGCCCAGTGCCCGTGTGTGTGTGTGTGTGTGTGTGTGTGTGTGTGTGTGTGTGTGTGTGAGTTGTTCCTCTACATACACGTCTCCATTTACTCCTCCCAACATTCCTGAGCAAGAAGAGTAATGTCCTCATGAGACAGATGAGGCAGCTGTTGTATCACACCAGTGAGTACACAACTCAGCAGTGATCTGTGAAAGCCGCCATAGCCCTGGGCCCTATTGACCATCAATCTTGTGGCTTGTTTAACTTCTTTCACTCCTAGCCACCTTTAACCTAGAAGCACACAGGGACAGGTTCTGGAAGTGCTATTCCAGCCTGGCTGTGGATAGAATATAGAACTTCATAGGGTCTTCACAGAAGGCTTGGAATTACCACTTAAAATAATCCTTTTACTACTGAAGGTAGGAAAGTTAGTTAGACAGGTGAACTTCTGACTTTGCCTACTCCCTATTAGCTACAGCTTGTGTGGGCTACTGTTTAAGTTACGTATTTCTGCAAGGCAAAGCACCCAAAACTCATTTCAGTGTGTCTCAACCTGCTGTGAACCAGTGAGATCCCACATGGGCGGTTTCACTGTTAGCTTTGTTCTGGGATTTTTTTCAGGTAGTTACACTGAGATGGTGGCCTTCACCATCTGGACTGGACATGTAACAACTGCTGGCACAAAGGAGGGTAGTTGGGGTCACTCAGTGAGAGCAGGAGCCACTGGGTCCTGCGATAGGGACTGATGGTCCAGGTGGGCACAGAGTCCAGAGTGAAATGAATAGTGGCATGCAAATCACCCAAGAAAATGGCATTCCTAATCTTTCTTCCTTACCAAGACACTGTCCACAATCCTATGCCCTGTCTCCTAGGGTCATTTGCCTATTCACAGGAGCTCCATTGTCCCAGGGTAAAGGGCAGGATAAGGCTCATCTAAGTATCACAATGCCCAATGCCTGTGTGTGTGTGTGTGTGTGAGAGAGAGAGAGAGAGAGAGAGAGAGACAGAGAGAGAGAGAGAAAGAGAGAGAGAGAGAG